TTATAAATCTTTTCATATGTAACCAAAATTTTTGCATTAAAAATGGAAGGGAAAAAAATCAAGCAGTGTGATTCATGTTTGATCTAAGAAAATTAGGAGAAAACCAGTCCTGACTTTTACACCCAAAGTACACAGAACATAGACTTATAAAGGGGAAGGGGCAAGAAGACAAAAGTAAATTTAAGATCAAATGTTCTTTCATTTACTCTTGATTGTTTTTCAAAATAATTACATTTTTAAAAACATAACTGGCTGTTTGATAATTTAACTTTTCCCTGGCTCAATCCTCCATCTTCCTACTTCCAAGTAACTTGATCTAAGAAATGTTGAAATATGATTAAACAGTAGCAGTAACAAAAGTTACCTCTGTAACAGTAACTTCTGTTACAGTTAGAAACAGAGATTTCTGTTAACAGTTCACTTGCAGATAACAGAAACCACTCTAGCCACTTTAGGTGATAATAATAATAGTAATAATAATAATAATAATTGCATTTTAAATGTAGATGGTAGTTTACAACACGAATAGCAAGAGAAGGGCCAGCTGATTAGCAAATGTACTTCCAGCCCCAGAATCATAGGTCCCTTGCTGTGGTGCAAACAGTTGTCAATACTGCCTCAGGTAAGGGTGACTGCAAATCCAGGCTCCCTCCATGGTGTCCAAATCAATGTCTTCCACCTTCTCTTTCTCCTTATTTAACTCAATTTCTAATTTAAGGATCATGAGGACATCTGAAAAACAGCATATGAATCACTCCCCACCCCCACCCCGAACGCTCACTGCCAGAGGAATGTAATTTTTAGTTTTCCAGACTCTACAGTCCATAAGGCAGACTGGAAGGAAATAAGAAAAGAAAAATGTGTCAAAAAGCTACGCAAAATTGTTTTTCCTCCAATGTATTTATGGAGAAGGAAGCAGTGTAGACATTCTTTACATTCATCTCATAGCCATGGAAAGAGAACTAGGTTGGGTTATTTCCTATTACGTTGGAAATGGATGTTCTCTCTAATACCATTAGAAGGAACCCAGGAAAAGGGTGGCTGAGAAGCTATTGATTTTAACAGGTATGTAGCTCTTTAGTAAACGACACCCTAAAGATGGACAGTTATGGTTTAGCAACAGCATGACAACTTCTAGACATCCAATTCCACACTAAATAGAAGGTTGTTTTATTTAATTGGTTTTAAAAAAATTGAGTATTTTCTGCTTGCTGAAGGGGGTCAGCCTTCACAGAGTCCCATTATTATAATGACAGAATGCTCTTCAATTTCTTGAGTGTTTTATGATTATAGTAAGGCATCTTCTGTGCAACTTCTCATTTAGTTTTAAAAGTACAGAAATACGGGCACCTGGGTGGCTCAGTTGGTTAAGCGTCTGACTGTTGATTTCTGCTCAGGTCATGGTCTCAGTGTTGTGAGATAAAGCTCCGAGTGGCGCTCTGCACTGGGCACAGAGCCTTTTTAAGATTTTCTCTCTCTCTCTCATTCTGCCCTCCCCATCCCTGGCAAAAATCTTAAAAAAAAAAAAAAAAAATATATATATATATATATATATATATATACACACATATATATATATAGGCTGATGACAGCTATATATTTTATTTTATTCTCTTATGATGGACATGTGATCTCTCCTTACAATGAAGGACACTCATGAGTCACTGAGTCATTCATCGCATTCATACAGACCTTACTGCCTGTTTTTCTGACTTTTCATGAGCTACTATTTCTTAACATTGGTGACTGTAAGAGTTTATTTAATTTGCAGAACTAGTTTACAAAGTATTTCTAGAAAAATACAAAAGAAAGAGAGAAATTAGCAGAATCCCAAGTTAACCCATTTACAGAGTGAAAAAAAGAAGGAATTGAAGAATGATATTTAATAAAACAGAACTCCTTAGCAAAGGTTTTAATTTTTAGGTAATGCTCTGTTCTGTATTTTAATTTTTATTACTAAAGCTTATATTCAATAAGGTAGCATATGAGTCTCTCTTTTTAAAGGAATGCATTAAAAAAATAAAAGGAATGCAATAAGTAAAATGGGATAAGTTTTAATACATTCATAGTTTGAATGCTCTTTCTCTTTTTTATATCTATAACTTCTGAATTTTGGAATACATAGTTGTCTTGCTTATCATTTACCAAATACATTACCTGGTCTTAAAACAAAATGCAATACCAGGCAAAACCACTGTTTCATATTTTAAAGTTTTAAAATATTATTACAATCATTTTTGCAGATACCATTCTCCAATATCATGACAAATTTTAATTGCATTTATTTACTTATTTATTTAAAAGATTGTGTTTATTTATTTGACAGAGAGACACAGTGAAAGAGGGAACACAAGCAGGGGGAGTTGGAGAGGGAGAACCAGGCTTCCTGCCAAGCAGGGGCCCTATGCAACGCTCTATCCGAGGACCCTGGGATCATGACCTGAGCTGAAAGCACTTAATGACTGAGACACCCAGATGCCCCAACAAATTTTAATTTTAGACAAGAATAACATTTTCATTTTTTTCTCCAGAAATCCAGAAAATAAACTACTATAAGATACATTGATATGGTGGCATTGTCGCTATTTGTATCCAATTCTGTTACCTCCTTCTCTGATAATATCAGAGATATTTAGATAATTAGCTGGGCATATGGCTTTCCAGAAAAGATACTACATTTCCAAGTTCCTCTCACAACAAATTTGTGGCCGACTATCTTGTTTCCTGCCAATGAAATCATAGAAGAATCCAACATAAGAGGGCATCCTTTCCTTCTTCGTTTTATACCTCTTTCTATAAAGCAGATGTGGTGGTCACCTCTCTTGGATCATATATGAGTTCAACTCCTAGGATTATTTAAGCATAAAAACAGAAGAAACCCGAGTTTCTGATGACTACCCAGAGCACCACAATGATATCAACTCAGAGATTTATTTAAGAGAAGAACAAACTTCCATCTTGTTAAGAAGTGATTATTTTAGGAATACATCATCACATCATGTATTTTCATGAATAAAATAGCATTTCACATCTGATCTCAGCCTTTGGTTAATTTTTAAACTAGATCCATTTAAATGTAATCCAAACAGCTCCTCACATCATGCAACCATTTATCTTGAAACTAACAACAAATATACAAAATAGTTAATCTAGTAAAAGGCCATCATGTACGTACACACCAGCACGCCCACGTTTAATCAAACACTGTATAACATATAGAGAATATGAGATTCTATAATTTCTCTTGAAACCAACTTTAATATGTCCATGGCAATAGTACATCAAACACACATGTATATTAATGTATATTAACAAAAACATTGCAGGAGAAAAATGGAATACTTATTTGCTTATTTATTTCTTTAGCTGACTCTAAACTTAGGGCACTTTGTTAAGAAAAAGAAAAAAAAAACTACGGGTAAGCAATTCAGAGATAAATTTAAGAATCCTAACTCTATTGTCACACATATTACAATTTTCCAGATTCTTGTGCCCTCATCTGTGAAATCAAGAGTTTCTAAAAGTCTCTTTCTCCTCTATCATTTTGTTGAGCAGAAATATTTGTTATTTTAAAATATAAAACTAGTTGGGGACATGGGTCATATAATAACATTTGGTATATTAAAACTTTTTTGAAATATAATTTAATATCTCCCTCCCATTCTCTGCTGCCCCCAGATTGAGTTTCTTTCTTTCTCATCATGCTGACTATATAAAGAGGCTACTGATGTACTGATCAAATATGTACTTAGGATGTGGTATGACATCTCAGAAACAGTACTAAACTGGAATTATAAATATATGTAAATATGTATGTTTTATATTTATGTAAATGTAAATTATCAACTCATTGTAGTTTTAACTCTTTCACTAGTTAGCACTGTCATCTTAAGCAAGTCATTTAACATTTCTGAGCAGTATTATCTGTTCTTATTAGAGCCTTGCCAGACAAGATTACCTTCATTCCTCCTTGAGTTTTAAAATTATTTTATAATATATTATTTCATTGTATGTGTAAAAAATGTATTCACTTTAAAGACAAATCTACATGTAGCCAGAAAAATATAAAGGTGTTCTTTATTTTCTGGAGTTATACTGACATCCTTTGGTAAGGTTTTGACCGAATACAACTTAATGTAGAGATAGAAGAACAGAGAAATAGACAATTAGATGGTTGATAAATAAATTAGATGGTTGATAAATAAATAGAATCACCCAGATGTATTTATATCTACCTCCACACACATTTGGGCATGAAACTCAAATTTCTGAGAAAAAAAAATATATGCATATATATATATATATATATATATATATATATATATATATAAAGGAGACTGTGACAAGTCCAAAGTCTAAAGATTTTAATGGCATTAATTGCATATTTAAGTTATGAATAAAATATTTTATCTGCAGAATATAAAAATGCAATGCATATAAGATTAAGGAGACAGGGCTGCCTCACAGACATTCCAAAACGATCAGTAAGGTATGATCTCGTATGGCAATAAGTAATAAAAATAAGGTATCTGGGGAATCAAAAAAGAAAGTTCACTGCAAGCAAAAATAAATAAAAATCATAAACCTCCACCCAAATCACTCTGGTAACGTATCAGATCTGGCTGCAACGTGACTTGGCACTCCGTTAATACTTGTATTTCAGTAGTCTGGTGTAAGGATGGTGCAGGAATATATATGTCAGAAGAAGTGTCTATTAAAGAAGAATTGCAAGAAGCGGTCCAGTTCCTGAGATTGCGTTAGGGACGCAGCCGGATTAGATTGGGTTGATTACCTTAGCCTCGAAACAGAGAGTCTTTCTGCCCTGCGGGGGAGGGGAAGCCTTTCATCCCCAGCCCTCGTCTCAGATGCGCCCTCCCCTTCGCATTCACTTGCAAATAGCTGTGTGCTAGCAAAAGCCCCCACTTCCCCAGTCTCTAACCTTCCCATGGCGAGTACTGCCGCTCTATCAGCAGAACCTTTCTCTCTGGGTGAGGAAGGGCTTTTTTCCCCTCCTCTCCTTTTTTTCCCCCTTAATCAGAAGCCCTGAATGAAAGCCAATCAGAGAGAGCTCGCCCCCGTGTTCTTCGGTTCCCTGCCGTCCAGAGTTGAAAGTGATGCTGAGAGAAAGCTTGAGTTAGATTGAAGTAGCATCAGTGATAGAAAATAACAGCCGAAAACAAACAAAAAGGGGACGTAGTGACAATTTCTCCAGGGTGATTTTGGCTGGAACCAACTTCCGTTATCCAGAAGCTGATAAAAAAGGTAGGAAGACTTCATCTCTTAACCCCCCCACCCCCCTTTCTTTCCCCCCCTAACCCCCTTAAGGTCTTTTATTTTCTTTCCCTGGGGGGATGGGAAATGTTTGTTTTTAAGTTGTATTTAACAATTATTTCCAAATAATTATCTTTAACACATGAAGAAATCAATAAGCATAAAACTCTCTATATTAGATTCTAGAAACAACTGCTTTGAATATCTCTAAGCGGTAATGTAAAACTAGATAAATTATATATTATGCTCAACAGTGGGTCATGATATTAGAGTTTGTGAATTCATTCACTCTGAACAAATGCCAAAAATATATCATGGAGTGTAATTTGTCATGCTTATACTTGTTCGTCTTTATTTTAAAAATCAGTTGAAGAGGTAACCTTGTTGCTGTGAACTCTAGCATCATCTAACATTACTTTGCATTCCATGTGAATGGATCCACTCTGCACTTATTTCTGGTCATAGTTCATCGTACGTTCAATATAAAGAGAAATGACAGGCAGAAGACAGATTCTTTGAAACTGTCAATGGCCACTAAGCATCTACATAAATAAAATAGATTGGCATTCATCAGAAATAGAAGAGGCATAATTCCTACATTCACATTGTATATCTGAGTCAGAAGTGAGAGGGGAAAGGGGACGAAGGGGTCTAAATGCATGTAGTCAGCAATTGCAGCATTTATTGTCTCTGCTGCAATAAAATCCATATTTTATGTGGTGTTAAATTAATGCAGCACATTGCAAGTCCAAATGCATGTCCCCAACAAGTAACTACTGATAACACTGTAAGTATGGGCAAAAGCAGTAGTCTGAAAGTGTTTTTACGTCGCTATAATAAAAACCTACCACCTCCTTATCATTAAAAAGGGGAGGGGGTTCTACAGGTGCAATCAAAGACAAACATCATTTTAAAACTGACCTATCATCTTTTGCTTAAAAAAAAACCCAAAAAACAGAAACCTCTTTCCTATAATAGTGGTTCTTCATTCCAGTAAAAGCTTCTGTTATCCAAAACTGCACATCCATTACTCTCAGCTGCTGGGAAATGCATTATTTCTTCTTCTTTTTTCTTAAAGGATCTATATTAAAAATCATCTGTCCCTCTGATGCTGACAACTGTTATACTTCAATGCATATGTTAGTAGACTTTCTCCCTCTACACCATCCCCCTCTCTATCCTTCTTTAAAATGTAGCTACAAGAGCTTCTCTGTGGTGAATAACACTTGGCAAGAGTGTGCTCATTTTTTTAGGTCTGGTATGGTGAGGATTTTTAATTAGTAGAACTTTCATGAAAACATTATGTCATTGACAAGAACTCTAGGTTCATTTTTAGTTAAAAAGATGAAGAAAAAAGGAAGAGGTTGTGTCATAGAGAAGTAGGTAAATAAGTTGCATAAATCATCCACCTTGTCCCTGTTCCCTGCGGGGTAGTAAATGAGGCACATATGTATTCAGTGTGTAATGCATAAGGAAATAGTAGTTTATGGGGCGGGGGGAGGACACACATATAAGCAGAATGTGTCTGTGTCTTAGGGACCCTTCAAATATGAATCCATTCTGATGATAAAAACATAAAGAAATGCTTCTTTCATTTATTTTCACTTTTTTCTTCAGCTGTTATTGAAGTATGAGTCAATGTCTGTTTTCATGAAATCAGATACTTTTTTGGTTTCAAATACTTGCTACTAACAAATTGACTTTCCTGGTGAATGCATATGCCTTCCCTGACTCCAATCAAAGAATAGAATTCCGTGCACTTATATGTCTTGTGGAGGAGAGTGGAGGGGGGTGCCAGGAGAATAGGAAGGAACATATAGTGTGTATAGCATCCACATACATATGCGTGTATGTGAGGTCAGTGGTTAAATTCCCTGGTACCTGAACGGTGCTTTAGGTGATATTCCTAGATGTTTATAAAAACTAGCTATTTGGTGATACCAGTACTAGACAGGTATTCAATTTAATTTTACACTATTAGATTTTTTTTTTTTTTTTACTATATGGAGATTTTTCTTTAAAAAAGAAAAAAAGGATAGAAAATTGGTTTTTCTACCTAGGGAGATATAAATTTCTGGCACATTATTAAGAAAGTAGTATAATATGAAAGAGGTATGATTTTTTTTTTCTTGAAAGAGTATACTTGAAACTGAAAGGTTAATTCCAAAATATATGAACCCTGTTCAGGCTCTAGGATTCATTTCATGATCTTCACTTAATTTCTCATATAAACAAATAACTGAGGCAGAGTATATATTATCTAAGGGATTTTTGGACATATGACTTCTTTTCTATGTCTTAACCTACTTTGCAGCAAGTGATAACACTGTGTCCTCCTGGAATATGTCATTTTTATACCAAATCATCCCGCTAGGCTGCAGCACACGAACAGCATTAGCAGCAATGATGCTGATTCAGCAGCAAAGTGAACCATATTTTTGTTAAGTGTTATTATCAGTAAGAGTGTTGTATAGTAAGCAATTAATACAACTCATGGATATAAACCCAACTATCTCCAGTCTATCCCCTGGGTTTTAAAAGCACCAGCCATAATACGTTGTGATTTCGACTATGCAAATTGCATTCTAATACTGTTGCCACATTAGAAATGCTTGTAAAATACTGAAATAAAGTAACAAAGTATGAGCAGAGAAATATAAGCATTATTTGTATCAACCATAAGTAATTTTATGCAGAAATTTGACCTCCAAACTTCAGGTCTATGTTTGAAAACTCTACTTTTGTTTAACCTAAAATATTATCTGGTTAGGGCTTCAGAAAAGCCACTTTACTAACCATATTATATTTAGCAGTCATGTCTGAAATAGGCTGAAGTTAAAAACCAAGTAGCAAGAACGGTGCCCTCATTCTTGTTAGGCTTATACTGAACAATGGTGATATTGACGAAGCATTGTACTAAGTATATATGGTCCCTCTTATGAATATTTTGAAAAGGAAATCAGAGCCCGAGGAATATCATCATGAACACATATTTGAGAAATGAAAGCAAACATAGGAAAATATATTTTCCCTTTCTTGACACTTTGTTCAGACCAGTGAGTTCACTGAGAAAATTTTCTTTTGTCATAATTAAAATAATTTGAAATATGCAGGTAGAAAGAAATGCCCTAAATTTAAACATTTTTAAATCTGCCTTCTTTTTTTTCTAGTTGAAGCATTTGGGTTATGTCCACAGAGCACTAATATAACATTCCCTGCTTTTATCTCTAATAAGTTCAATACTCAAAATTACAGATTTCTTTTTTTCACGCCTAAGAACGAGAAAATTTCAATCAACAAGGAGTGCCTGTTTTCTAAGATAACAATATCAGCTCAGGGTCACCTCTCTTCACTTCTTCCTTTCTTGCTAAACAGCAGCCTCACTTCACTTGACATTTTAGTATGAGACTTGGAGCCCTTTCAAATCTAGTTGTGTTGTCTTTCATAAGGATATCTAAAGCATGAGGCCATTTTTGCCTTTGCCATACCTCCTTTGTCACTGCTCACTTCAACTAACTCAAAAGGCAAACATTGTAAGAAAGCATCTATCACATTAAAGTTGCAGATTGCTGGGAATGCATTATCCTTAATGTTATATTAACATTGATCAGTTAAATAACCTGAGAGTTTCGTAAAAAAATTGTTTCAAAATAACTTTCACTTAACTCTTTACTATCAATGCAACTTCTTGCCAAAAAAAAAGTAACTTGATCTTTTAAAGAATAAAGATGCTATGTTTTCACAAATGTCTTTATATTTTTATCCCATTTTTCTCTTGAAGTGCATGTGATGATCTAACCTCTCCAGTACTAAGAGATGTTTGTTAAACATTACCACATTGGTGGTGGATTTAAAGAAAGGGGAAACTGGAAATTGAGTAAGAGTGAATAAAATAAAATTAGATTTTACCTCATTTTAAGGACTCAGATAGAGCATTTCTTGAAAATAATGACTGCCTTTGGGAGTTGAAATGCCCTCATAAAACAATCCCTGGTAGCAGAGGGATGTAGTAGAGAGTTTGTCAGTAACATTATAGAGCACTTTACCAAACCATGTGCTTTCTATATGCTCCCCCTTCTTTTGGAAAGCAGCCTTGATTCTCCATACTCTCGATGATGCACAAATACATAAAGTTGAGTAACATTTTGACTTCAGGACAGAATTTAGCAATAGGCTACAAGGTATAATACAACATTGCTTCACAACAAGGAATTCAGCATTAAATGACATGTCTAAGCACTTCAGAGCCCTGCTGATGCTCAGAAATTTTGCCGTGCACTCTCTCTCTTTCTCTCTCTCATACCCCCTCCCTTTCCCCCCTCTCTCTGTCTCCCTCCCCTCCCTCCCCTCCCTCCCCTCCTTTATTTATGGCAATTACCAAGGTCCTTGAATGAGTGTTCCATATGCTTTTTAAAAATATTACCCTATATGAAATAATATTTCTCTAAATCTTGTGGTTTTTATAGCCAGTATTCTATCATCAATCACATTCTACATTTGATTTTATTACATTATTCTTTGCATTATAGCATAAAGTGTATGACAGTTCAGTTGGCTGGTTCATGTCCTTTAAAACAAAAGCAATTCTTTTAGATGTTCTAACACCTAGGCTTTTAAGGAATTGAAATTGGCATCAATGTAGTTTACTGCACTAGCAAGCAAAGTATGGGAAGTTCAGCATTTATTAATGGAATGACTTCTCCAAAGTATCAGAATGTAGAGTGCATAGACATGAGTTATTATGTTCAGTACATCGGTTTATTGATTGGGAATCTTTGTTGATTTACTGTAACAGAAGATATTGAGATAATTTGACAGTCCTGGTTTTAAAAATAAATTAAACATAAATTGCACTTTCCAGGAAGCAGTCTTTCATTAGACATGTTGATTCTTCTTTGTTGCATGATGCAAATATTGCCAGTTTGTAATGTAAGAATGTAAACTGATACATAATGAGCAAATGTCTATTGTAGATATTGTAAAGAACTAGC